GTGGTAAGAAACTGATACTCTCTATATAACCTCAAATTTAGAGAATATCATTATAGTAGCAGATGCTGATGGAAAATCAAACCTATGGCACCAAAGGCTTGGCCATATGAGCGAGAAAGGGATGAAGACACTTTTGTCAAAGGGGAAGTTGCCGGATCTAAAGAATGTAGATGTCGGACTATGCGAGGATTGCATCTTTGGAAAACAAAAGAAAGTCAACTTTGCAAAGATTGGTAAGACACCCAAGGCTGAAAAATTAGAGTTGGTTCATACTGATGTATGGGGACCATCTCCAGTTCCATCTCTTGCAGGCTCATTATATTATGTCACATTCATCGATGATTCTACAAGGAAGGTGTGGGTTTATTTTCTGAAGAAGAAATCAGAAGTCTTCGATACCTTCAGAAAATGGAAGGCCATGGTGGAAAATGAGACTGGTTTGAAAGTCAAGCGGTTGAGGTATGACAATGAAGGAGAGTACAGAGACAGTAGATTCAGAGATTTATGCGCAAACAATGGGATCAAGATGGAGACAACAGTTCCCATAACACCGCAGCAGAATGGCGTAGCAGAGCGCATGAACAGAACTATGAATGAACGTGCCAGAAGCATGAGGATACATGCCGGATTGCCCAAATTGCTATGGGCTGAAGTTATCAACACTGCAGCTTACCTGATCAACCGTGGGCCCTCAGTTCCCTTGGATGGCGGAATACCAGAGGAAGCTTGGAGCAAGAAGGAAATAAACCTTTCACACTTAAGAGTGTTTGGTTGTATTTCTTATGTACACATAAACTCTGCTGAAAGAAGTAAACTTGATGCCAAGTCCAACAAATATGTCTTTATTGGTTATGGCGGTGATGAGTTCGGTTACCGGTTTTGGGACTATGAAAATCAGAAGATCATCAGAAGCAGAGATGCCATTTTCAATGAGAATGTGATGTACAAAGACAGGTCAACTGTAGAAATCAAGGAGCTCAAATACCAAAGCTGAAACAAAGGAATTTGCTGAGTTCGATGAGATTTCTGGAAATGATACTCAGATCAGTCCTGAAGCAGTTCAAGAAGAACCATGCATACCGGAACTAAGACGCTCCTCCAGAATTCCTAAATCAATCCAACGGTATTTTCCTTCTTTGCACTACTTGTTGCTGACTGACAATGGTGAACCAGAGTGCTACGATGAAGCAATGCAGGTGGAGGATTCAGTCAAGTGGGAGTCTTCCATGAAAGATGAGATGGACTCGCTTATGTCAAATCAGGCGTGGGAATTAGCTGAATTACCACCAAGCAAGAGAGCGCTTCATAACAAGTGGATTTACAGGATCAAAGAAGAGCACGATGGGAGAGCAAACGCTACAAAGCAAGATTGGTTGTCAAAGGTTTTCAGCAAAAAGAAGGTATTGACTACAATGAAATTTTCTCTCCAGTCGTGAAGCTTTCTACAATCAGACTGGTGTTGAAAATTGTAGCTACATAAAATTTACATCTTGAGCAGTTAGATGTAAAGACAACTTTCCTTCATGGTGATTTGGAGGAAGAAATCTATATGAGGCAGCCAGAAGGCTTCATAGAGGCAGACAAGAAAAACCTGGTATGCAGGTTAAAGAAGAGCTTGTATGGTTTAAAACAAGCTCCTAGACAGTGGTACAAGAAGTTCGATAGTTTCATGAGTAGCAGTGGTTTTACCAGATGCCAAGCAGATCATTGTTGCTACATCAAGAGGTTCGACAATAGCTTCATTATTTTATTGTTGTACGATGATAACATGCTCGTTGCAGGCTCAAACATGCAAGAGATCATAAACTTGAAGCAAAAATTGTCGAAGTAGTTTGCTATGAAGGATCTGGGCGCTGCAAAGCAGATTCTTGGGATGAAGATCAAGAGAAACATAAAGTCGGGGACTTTGATGTTATCACAGGCTGAGTACATCAACAAAGTACTCTCTAGGTTCAACATGCAAGATGTTAAACCAGTAAGTACACCTTTAGGTGTTCATTTCAGACTTTCCAAAGATCAATCACCAAAGACGGAGGAAGAACGTGCACACATGGTGAAGGTGTCGTATGCCTCAGCAATTGGAAGTCTGATGTATGCCATGGTTTGTACCAGACCAGATATTGCTCATGCAGTGGGAGCTGTTAGCAGGTACATGAATAATCCAGGCAAGATACACTGGGAAGCAGTCAAATGGATCCTCAGATATATGCGGGGTACCACAAACAAAGCACTTTGTTTCAAAGGTGGAGATACGATACTGACAGGCTATGTAGATGCTGACTTAGCCGGAAATGTCGACATCAGAAGGAGCACTACAGGGTATGTCTATACTCTAGGAGGAACTGCAGTGAGTTGGGTTTCTCAACTACAGAAGATAGTTGCTCTCTCCACAACTGAAGCAGAATATGTCGTTGTTACAGAAGTCAGCAAGGAGATGATATGGCTCCAAAGTTTCTTGGAAGAGTTAGTCAAGAAACAAGGAAACAATGTCTTGTATTGCGATAGTCAAAGTGCTATCCATCTAGCAAAGAATCCGTCTTTTCATTCCAGGACGAAGCACATACAATTGCGATATCATTTTATCCGGTCTCTTCTGGAAGATGGGATTTTGAAACTTGAAAAGATTAGTGGAGCTCAAAATCCGGCAGACATGTTGACAAAGACGGTGACCACGGAAAAACTGGCATGCTAGAGTAACAAGACTAGAAAAGCTGCTGCATTGATCGAGGTGTGAAGACAGATTAAAATCAGTCTTCAAGTGGGAGGTTGTTGAAAAGATGGCAGCCGGCTAAATTAAAAATGCCAAATTTTGGCAGCCATTCTTCAAGCAGCCGGCGGCTAAATAATTTCAAAGGGGGGCTGCTAATTTTTTTATTATTTTGTAATAGGGATAATTATAAAATTGAGTCATTGAACTTTAGGGTATTTATAAGATTAACCCTTAAGTTTCAACTATAAATACCCTAGCTCATTTAGCTTCAAAATCATCCCAAAATCATTTCTTCCTTCTAATACTAGAGAGCTTTCTTTGTAGTAAGTGTTTTGTAAACACCTGTAAATTTTATCTCTTAGTAAAAGATCTGCAGCAGTCTGGAGACGTAATCACAATTGGCTGAACTCCGTTATCAATTTTTCGGGTATTATTTTTCTGTTTTTATTTCACATTCTCACTAATCTGGTTATAGGAAAATTACTCGTTCTCGGTTTATTTCCTAACAGTTGCCTTGGACGTTGCTTTGCCTGTAAAACAAGAGTTTCATATTCTGTTTGCACAGGTATCTGTCTAGTTTACTCAGATTAGGATTTAGCTGTTTTTGGACATTATGCAACTATTATTTTCATATAACGTTTCGTGATAGCCACATAATCTGCCACAATAGAAAAGCGAAGAAAGAGAAAAAGAGGAAACTTCTGTACTTTTCTTTTGTTGCTTCTTAATAACATGCTACATAGTTGCTTGTTGCTTATAAAGAGCTTGGATAAATATGCTTCTGAGTCGTGCCATTTTCAGGGCATCCCCTTGGCTCCTCTTTGGGACTTCCGCAAGGAGAAGTTTGTTGGAGTTATTAGTGCTTCAGATTTTATATTGATTCTGAGAGAGATATGTTCATAATGCAGAATCACATTTTTTTATAGTAACAAGTCTTCCAAAATGTACTGAGATTTCCTTTTATTCTAATTTCAACAACTAGAAAGTTTCTAGTTTTTAACTAATAGACTTATCTGATAGATGGAGCTTATTTTTCTGTGTATCTCTCTTAATGCATACATTTTTTTTGTTATGCAGCTTCTAAAGCATCAATCAAATTTGACAGAGGAAGAGCTTGAAACACAAAGTATCGCTGCCTGGAAGCAGGGAAAGGCTTACATGACAGGACAAGTTGATGGGCATGTGAGACCAATTCCGAAAGATCTTATCTATGTTAGTGTTCAGTATGGTGGTCGCTCTGGATAATAGCTTAAGAAAGACATTATTTTCATTCACATGCATGTGCATTTTATGTTTGTTTGTACAAAGCACCTGCTTCTCCATATGTGTTTTTATGTTTTAATTTTCATAGACATCTGCAAAAATATCTAGGTTAGTGTGACCCAATAACTTGGTGGCAACTAGTTAGTTTTGCTATATTATCTTGCCAGAATCTTACTTTGGCACAATTTCAAATTTGGCTATCGTGCATTTTCAAGAATCAAATTCAGTGGGAAAACAAGTACACAACACCCATCCGGGGATCTGATTTCATGTATCTGCAAGAATTTTAGTGTTGGGAAAAGAAAATGTCTAGATCATTAACTAGCAATCTTCTCCTTTTCAAGCAACCAAACTCGAGTAAAATAGTTTTCAATTGATTCAAAAAAATAAAAAGCTCTTTCATTTTATTTCTTCTTCCCCAACACTAGTTGCCAAATGCCTATTTAGTCCTTTCCATTCTCCTTTTTGCTTTGTCTTTTTGAGAAGGCTATGTCTTTAGATCCTTGTCATGTATCATTTGAGAAAGGCTGCATTTTTGGTACCTGCATATGTGAGTTATGTTTTAGACCCTTGTTGATTATGCAGGTTAGCCCATGTGATAATTTGAAGGACGTAGCTTTGAAAATTTTGCAAAATGGAGTAGCTATAGTTCCTGTTATCCATTCATCATCGGAAGATAGTTCGCATCCCCAGTTATTACTTCTTGCTTCTCTTGCCGGAATATTAAAATGTAAGCCTCTTAACAGTTTGTTGTCAATTAACAATATCTGTTCAACATGCATGGCTCCTTAATCAATGGAGTTCGATTTCTAGGTATATGCAAGTATTTTAAACATTGTCCCAACCCTTTGCCCATACTACAATTACCGATCTATGCAATCCCTCTGGGTACATGGGTTCCTAGAAATGGAGAAACCAGCAGTCGGCCATTTGGAATGCTGAGACTTACTGCCTCTCTTAGTTCCGCATTAAATATGCTAGTTGAAGGTGTGTTTCCCGTTCTGTCAAACGGTTTACGGAAGGAATGAGATAATATAAATCACCAGGAGAGAAAAAAGGGATTTTTTATGGTTTCTTGAAGATGGAAGAACTAGCTTAGCTTTAAGATCTCGAGAGGCCACCTCAAATTGATTAGGGTATTCATGTATATGTTGGTATGATATAAAGTTTTGCTCTTTGTTTTCACAGCTAAAGTAAGTTCAATACCTATAGTTGATGATAATGATTCTTTAGTGGACATATATTGTCGGAGGTAAGGTTTCGTTCTTGATTGATATCTTTCAAGCGTGCAAAACTTACTCAGTTTTGGTTGAGGATGATAATTATTCATTATTTCATTGGCTTTTTTTCAGCGATATTACAGCTTTGGCAAATAATGTAAATGAAATGACTGTTCATCAGGTTACTGCTGTGGCTTTTGTTCTTCATTTTCTCTGGTTTATGCATTTAACTATCAATGCAAGGTTCGATTGTTGAGGTAGTTTGGGATCCGATAATTCTTGTAGGTGGATTTCAAATATTCTTTTCTGTAATTTTTCTGGGTACTCCCAAACAAGGTTCTGCAGTGTAATTTCTCATAATGACTAGTATTCTGCAAGTGTCACGGTCAGTCCTGACCCTGTGGCACAAGCAACATGTGATGTTGCTTTGGAGGTCCAAAGGTCGCATGATTGGTGAAATTTTGATCGAAGAATCTCAGTTGCAAATTGTAAACGTAACGAATAGACGAACTGACATTAAATGTTTCTCTGATTGCACCAACTCCTTTCATCTTCTTATGAAAGTTTAAATCAATAACATTTTCGATGTTCTGACCAATGGCTGTTGCATCTACTTGGATTCAGCTGATAAAAAAAAGCTGATACATCGGTTGAAAACCTTATGCTACAGAGAACTTGTTTCCTAATCTCCCGTTTACTCTTTTGTCGGTTTTTATTTTAGGCATTGCAATGGGGACAAGATTCCAACCCTCCTTATGAGAGAACTCAAAGATGTCAAATGTGTTTGCGCACCGATACATTGCTTAAAGTGATGGCACAATTGTCCAACCCTGGTGACTGGCTCTCTTTCTTTCGTTTTGAAATTTCCATTAAGATTGGTGTTTCTTTTACTTTTAAGAAGGCTAATGATCATTGTGAAGGATACATCATTTACTAAATAGTGAAAAATGATTTCAGGTGTTAGACGGCTTGTTATTGTGGAAGCTGGAAGTAACCGTGTAGAAGGCATCATCTCGCTTACCGACATTTTCAGGTTCTTACTAGATTAGAGTCAAATACGGTGCCTATAACCTATGAGGGAATTTTTCTTTCAGTTTCGGACTCCCATGTCTTGTGGGCGCAAATCCCTGCCCCCCACCAATGCTCCAGAAGATCTTATCTCATTCAACCATTGATTTTGGCCTCATTCTTTCTTGCCTGTGTTTTAGAATTTTAGGCCCCAAGAAAGAGGCTTGTAGTTTAGAAGATCTGTTAATTCTCGGTATTAAAATACAAAAATTATGTGACCGATGTAGATGCCATTGCCTTTGTCAGACCTCCAATTGTCTTCCAAAGATATAAACACACCGTGACATGATTATTCTTCACCGTGCTTATAAGATCAAACTGGTTGTGAAATTGAATATTTCAAAGGAAACCCTCCATTGAAAATATAATAGGTTCTTAACACATGGAATTTAACTTCTCAATGCGAGGCATCTTATTTAAAGTGATTTGTAGTCAGTCACTTTTAGTTCTTTGCATGGTTTTGTCACAAATGTAGAAAAATTAGGGACAAAGTTGAGACAACTAGTCAAGTTTATGGACTAAAAGTTGTTCTATCTGTTAAAACTACGTGAAAAATTAACAGTACCTACCTTGTCCAATGTCCAGAGCAGATGTCTATAGATGTCATATTTCCAATTTAAGCATAGCAGAGGGACTAAAACCAGAATTTGACCAAGTAATAAACAAGGATTAATTATTACATCACCGAACGGTGGACAACAAAATAATTGATTTTCCAAGGTTGCTGCTGGGGTTTCTTCCTTCGAACTCAGAATTCGCCCCCATTCTCAAATCCATCTTTGCCCCCTCTTAAAACAAGGTAAATCCTTTGCCTTTTTAAGTTAATTACACTTTCCCAATGATTTACTTTCTCTGCAAAACAGTTCTCCATGGGAAAAACGTAGTTACAGCCACTCAAAGTCACAAACTTTTAGGACTATCACAGTCTCTAATTCTCAGATACCTTACAAGTTCTTTAAAGGAGAATTCATTTACAGTTTCATATCTCAAAAAACAAATGTGGGTTGTCCTTAGAATCTGCTTTAAAAGCCTCCAAATCTGTTCATTTTGAATCCCCAGAGAAGCCTGACTGTGTCATTGAGGTGCTCAAGAACCATGGTTTCTCAAAACCCCAAATCATCCGCCTCATCAACAAACGCCCACAGCTGCTTACCTCAGATGCTAAAAGAATCATTTTTGCCCAAACTTGAGTTTTTAATTTCTAAAGGTGTTTCAATGCCTGACCTTGCCTCTATCTGCTCTAGTAACCCAAGTCTCTTTACCTTAAGCTTAGAAAATCAGATAATCCCGTCTTATGATTTCCTTAGTACTGTGCTTAAGCCTGAAGAGAAGATTTTCCGTGCTATGAAACGCTATCCGCGCCTTATGGGATACAATCCTTATGATATTTTGTCATCCAATATCAATACATTACTGGATAATGGAGTTGCTGAGTGTAATATTGCTTCAGCACTTTGTTCACTGCCTTCAACATTTGTTAGAAGTCCGAATAAGTTCAAGGATATGGTAGAGGAAGCAAAGGGTATGGGATTTAATCCTTCTAAGCCAATGTTTATGGTAGCACTCTATGCAATGAGTTCTATGAGTAAATTGACATGGAAGAGGAAGATTGAACTTCTTAAGAAGCTTGGTTGGTCCGAGGTAGAGATTATCGAAGCTTTTCGTAGGTATCCCACATTCGTGAGAGTGTCTGAAGATAAAATCGTGATGACAATGGATTTCCTCGTGAACAAAATGGGTCTTTCGCCTAGTGTTATTGCAAAGCGTCCCCGACTACTGTTGATGAGCATGGAGAAAAAGATTGCTCCGAGGGGTCTGTTTGCTCTAGATTTGTTGTCCAAAGGTGTTATCAAGCGTATTAACTTGCATGCATTGTTGGGGCCTTCGGATCATGTGTTTATCGAACACTTTATCAACCGCCATAAATCGGAAGCATCTCAGCTGTTAAAGTTATATCATGAAAAGTTGGATCTTTCAAAGAAGTGGAGAATTGAAGGTCACAAGCTGCTGCATTCATAGATTATTGATTGTTTTTTATTGACATTAAAAGGTTCAAATTTATTCTTGTTCCTTTGATTCAGATTCTTTTCTTTTAAGCTAAATGACAGTGACTTTTGGTTAAGAATGCTTTCAATACAATCTTTTAGCTTTTTTCTTCTTTTTGCCATTAGTAAAGCTTGAAGCTGAGTCTGTGCTCTAATAATTTGATGTGCTGTTATGTATGATAATGCCATATCTTCGCTTTGAGTGAATTTACGGTTGGTATAATATGCTGCTATTCTGAAACTGCTCTGTTACTCTCCTGCCTCCTATGGTTAAGGTAATGAAAATGTTTGAATGTTTTTCTTCAAACTCAATTACACAATAAATGCCAGATTCCAGACACTCTCCCTAGTACCCGGTTACGCATGGCTCAAGAGCCTTCATGCCTGATATCCTACATTATGGGAACTGAATCATTCTACTGCTCAATTGCTCAAGAGTTCCTCGCCTCCAAATGATTTTAGTGTTGGGCTCTACTGGTTGTCATTAGGATAAGCAATGTAGCATCTGATAGTTTGGGATTTTAATCATTTCTTGTAAGTGAGAAAAATGGTTTCAGGTGTTAGACGGCTCGATATCGTGGAAGCCAGAAGTAACTGTGTAGAAGGCATCATCTCGCTTACCGGCCGGCATTTTCAGGTTCTTACTCGGTTAGAGTCAAGTAAATTGTTGATAACCTATTGAAAGAAGGTTTCTTACTATTTAGAAGGCATCATCCCTGCTCCCCCAATGTAGATGCCATTTCCAGCCATTGTCTGACCTCTAATTGTTTTTGAAAGCTATAAACACACAATGACATGATTATTCTTCACCATGTTTATATAAAATCTAACAGGTTGTGAATTTGAATATTTGCTTTGCAAACCCTCCATTGAAAAATTACTAGAGACTGTTCTTATTACATGGAAACTAATATTTTCAATGTGAGACAACCTGTTTAAAGTAACTTTTAGTCCTTAAACTTGGTAAAGCTTTTCAATTTAGTCTATGATTTTTTTTCACATTAGCCACTGAATTTGGATTTTTGATCCACTTTTAGTCCTTTGGTTGATGTGGAGATTGTGTCAATTTCATGGAATAATGAGGGAAATAGATTTAGGGACTAAGTTGAGAAAAGTAGTCAAATTTTTTATCCCTCAAAATTACATGAAATTAAACAGTCCGTACCTTTTCCAACGCATCTTTGTGGCTTTCATAGATGTAAAATTCGAGGATCAAATTTTGTAAACTTGGGGTATTATAGATTTAAATTTTAAGCATTGTAGATGGGCCAAAACCATAATTTGACCTACTAATAAATAGCGATTATCACGCAACTATCCAAAATGACTAGTTTTTTCAAGGCTACTGCTGGGGTTTTCTTCCTTTAAAGGCAGAAGCTGCCCATTAACATTTCAAGAAGAAATCAAATTCTTTTCAAACCCTCCCCAACAGACCCAAAAAAAGAAGAAGGTAAATCTCGTCTTTTTAACTTAATTACACTCTCATGTCTTACTTCCTCTGCAAAACAATTCTCCATGGGAGAAATGTAGTTACAGCCACTCAAAGTCGCAAACTTTTAGGACTATCAAAGTCTCTATAATTCTCAGATCCCTTACAAGTTCTTCAAATGAGAATTCATTTACAGATTCATACCTCAAAAACAACTGTGGGTTGTCCTTAGAATCTGCTTTAGAAGCCTCCAAATCTGTTCATTTGGAAACCCCAGAAAAGCCTGACTGTGTCATTGCGGTTCTCAAGAACCATGGTTTCTCAAAACCCCAAATCACCCGCCTCATCAACAAACGCCCAGCACTGCTTACCTCAGATGTTGAAGGAACCGTTTTGCCTAAACTTGAGTTTTTAACCTCTAAAGGTGTTTCAATGCCTGACCTTGCCTATATCTTCTCTAGTAACCCAGCTCTCTTTGCCACAAGCTTAGAAATAGAATAATCCCATCTTATAATTTCCTTAGTAACGTGCTCAAGTCTGATGAGAAGATTTTCCGTGCCGTGAAACACTATCCGCGCCTCATGGACTACAGTATCAGTACTTATGATGTTTTGTCATCCAATATCAATACCTTGCTTGATAATGGAGTTGCTGAGTGTAATATTGTTTCAACACTTTGTTTACTGCCTACAACATTTGTTAGAAGTCCGAAAAAGTTCAATGATATGGTAGAAGAAGCAAAGGATATTGGATTAAATCCTTCTAAGCCAATGTTTGTGGTAGCACTCTCGGCATTGAGTTCAATGAGTAAACTGACATGGAAGAGGAAGATTGAAGTTTTTAAGAAGCTTGGTTGGTCCGAGGAGGAGGTTCTCGAAGCTTGTCGTAGGTATCCCTCGTTCATGAGGGTGTCTGAGGATAAACTTGTGGTGACAATGGATTTCCTCATGAATGAAATGGGCTTTTCGTCTAGTGTTATTGCAAAACGTCCCCAACTTTTGTCGATGAGCATAGAGAAAAAGATTGTTCCTAGGGGTCTGTTTGCTCTAGATCTGTTGTCCAAAGGAGTTATCAAGCATATTTACTTGAGTTCATTGTTTGGGCCTTCGGATCATGTGTTTATCGAGAACTTTATCCGCCACCATAAATCAGAAGCATCTCAGCTGTTAAAGTTATATCATGAAAAGTTGGATCTTTCAAAGAACTGGAGAGTGGATGGTTGCAAGCTGCAGCATTTATAGGCTATTGACATCAAAAGGTTCAAAATTACTACTGTTCCTTTGATTCGGATTCTTTTAAGCTAAACGTGCTTGACATTTCCGCTAAGAATGCTGTTAATACAATCTTTTAGCTCTTTTCTTCTTGTTGCCATTAGTTAAGCATGAAGTTGACTCATTGCTCTAATGATTTGATGTGCTATTACTGATGATTATGCCCTATCTTTGCTTCTGAAAATGCATTGTTATGCTTGCTTTTGGAACCATCACCTTTTTACTTCATGTCGATTTAAGAAGGTAATGATTATAGTGAAGGGTCTACTAGTTGCCATTAGGATCTTTGATGCAGCATTTGATAGTTCGTGATAAATGGCTTAGGTATTAGAAGACTCGTTATTGAGGAAGCGGGAGGGAAGTAACCTTGTAGAAGGCATCATCTCGCTTACCGACATTTTTAGATTCTCTTACTTGGTTAGAACCTATCCAAGGAAGGTTTCTTTCACCGATTTTCGGACTCCCATGTCTAGTGGGCACCATTCCCTGCCCTTTGGGCTTTGATGCTCCAAAGATAAAATTAAAGTATAAAGCTTAAAATTTAAATTTAAGAATAATAGAGGGACCTAAACCACAATTTGACCAAACAATCGACTCCAAAAGAATTGATTTTTCCATGTTACTGCTTAGGTTTTCTTCCTTTGAACCCAGATGCTGCCCCCATTCAAATTTCGAAGAAGAAATCTTTACCTTTCCCCCCTCCAATGCCTTTTTAACTCGATTATACTTTCCCAATGCTTTACTTCCTCTGCAAAACCATTCTTCATGGGAGAAACGTTGTTACAGCCACTCAAAGTAGCAAACTTTTAGGATTATCAGTCTCTAATTCTCAGATACCTTACAAGGTCTTCAAATGAGAATTCATTTACAGTTTCATACCTCAAAAACAAATGTGGGTTGTCCTTAGAATCTGCTTTAAAGGCCACCAGATATGTTCATTTTGAATCCCCCGAAAAGCCTGACTCTGTCCTTGCCGTTCTCAAGAACCATGGTTTCTCAAAGCCCCAAATCACCCGCCTCATCAAGGGACGCCCGGCAGTGCTTACATCAAATGTTGAGAAAACCATTTTGCCCAAGCTTGAGTTCTTAATCTCTAAAGGTGTTTCAAACCCCGACCTTGCCCATATCTTGTCTCATAACCCAACATTTTTGTTCTCAAGCTTAGAAAATAATATACGCCCATCTTATAATTTCCTTAGTACCGTGCTTAAGTCCAGTGAGAAAATTATCCGTGCCCTGAAACGATGAGGTGCCTCATCGGCTACTGCCGATATGATATGTTCTTATCCAATATCAATACTTTGCGGGATAATGAAGTTGCTGAATGTAATATTGCTTCAACATTTTGTTCACAGCCTACAACGTTTTTTAGAAGTCCACGTAAATTTAAGGATATGGTAAAGGAAACAAAGGAAATGGGATTTACTCCTTCTAAGCCATTGTTTATGGAAGCACTCTATGCGATGAGTTCAACGAGCAAACCGACATGGAAGAGGAAGATTGATTTCTTTAAAAAGTTTGGTTGGTCTGAGGAGGAGGTTTTTGAAGCTTTTCGGAGGTATCCTTCGTTCATTTCGTTTTCTGAGTACAGATATATGGTGATGATCGATTTCCTTGTGAACAAAATGGGCTTTCCGTCTAGTGTTTTCGTGAAACCTCCCTAATTTCTGCAGATGAGCTGGGAGAAAAAGACTGTTCCTAGGGGTCTGTTTGCTCTAGATCTGTTGTCCAAAGGAGTTATCAAGCGTATTTACTTGAGTTCATTGTTTGGGCCTTCGGATCATGTGTTTATTGAGAACTTTATCAACTGCCATAAATCGGAAGCATCTCAGCTGTTAAATTTATATCATGAAAAGTTGGATCTTTCAAAGAACTGGAGAGTGGATGGTTGCAAGCTGCAGCATTTATAGGCTATTGACAATAAAAGGTTCAAAGCTACTCTTGTTCCTTTGAGTCGGATTCTTTTAAAGCTAAAACGTGCTCGATATTGCGGCTAAGAATGCTGTTAATACAATCTTTGTAGCTTCTTTTCTTCTTGGTGCCATTAGTTAAGCTTGAAGTTGACTCATTGCTCTAATGATTTGATGTGCTATTACTTAGGATCTTTAATGTAGCATTCGATAGTTCGGATAGATCATTTACTATAACTGTGAAAAATGGTTTCTGCTGTTAGACGACTCGTTATTGTGGAAGCGTGAAGTAACCATGCTGTTAGACGACTCGTTATCGTGGAAGCGTGAAGTAACCATGTAGAAGGCATCATCTTGCTTACCGGCATTTTCAGGTTCTTACTTGGTTAGAACCTATCAAAGTATCGGTTTCTACAGCGAGTTTCGGATTTCCATGTCTTGTAGGCACCGTTCTTTGCCCTTCAATGCTCCAAAGATCCAATCTCATTCAACCATTGACGTTGGCCTCTTGCTTTGTTGCCTGTGTTTTAGAATTTTTATGCCCCAAGAAAGAGGCATGCTATTTAAAAGACTAGTTGATATTCCCTCATTGCTCAATGTTGACCAATGTAGATGTCATTTGCCAGCCATTATCTGTGGTGTTATTTTTTATTGTCTTTCAAAGCTATAAAGATTCCATGACATGATTGATCTTCACCATTCATGTAGCGTCTAACAGGTTGTGAATTTATTTATGAGCATAAGGTAATACATTAATAATATATAAAGTTAAATGATTTATTCTTGACCATTCTCAAGGACAGAGTTAGAATTGAATTTTGAAGAGATAAGTTATTTAATTTTGGAATGAATATGATCTCGGACAGTGATTAAACCATAAAAATTAAGGGCGTTAGGGTTTAATTTTTCAATTTAAAAATTGGAAGGGTTTTAAAATAAATTGAAAAAAAATGAGGGCCAGACTATTTCATTAATTTTAAAATTGACAAAATCTTAAAAATAATTAAACTATAAAATTTTAAAAAGAATAAAACCTTAATATCAATGATTTTAAAACAATTATAGCAACTTAAAAAGTAATTAAACCATCAAAATTAGAAGAAATGGCTCCTCCAACCTATAACCTGCCTCCATCATCCTTCTACGAAAATTGAGAAGTTTCTGCTGGGGTTTTCTTCCTCTAAACCCTGGAGCTGCCCCCATTCAAATTTTATAGAAGAAATCAAATCATTTTTCCTCCAAAAAAAGAGAAAAAACAGGTAAATCTCACGCCTTTTTGTTATCTCAATTATACCTTCCCATGTTTTACTTTCTCTGCAAAAGAATTCTTCATGGGAGGACCACTCAAAGTCCCAAACTTTTAGGATTATCGCATCCTCTAATTCTCAGATACATATCTAGTTCTTCAAACGAGCATACATTTACAGTTTCATACCTCAAAAACAAATGTGGGTTGTCCTCAGAATCTGCTCTAAGAGCTTCCAAATCTGTTAATTTCGAAACCCCAGAAAAACCCGACTCTGTAATCGCCGTTTTCAAGAACCATGGCTTCTCAAAACCCCAAATCATTCGCCTCATCAAGAGACGCCCAAAAGTGCTTACCTCGGATGCTAAAAGAACCATTTTGCCTAAACTTGAATTCTTCATCTCTAAAGGTGTTTCACTTCCTGACCTTGCCCATGTCTTGTCTGGTAACCCAGCTTTGCTGTCCTCGAGCTTAGAGAATCAAATACTCCCATCTTATAATTTCCTTAGTAGCATGCTTAAGTCCGATGAGAGGATTTTCCATGCCGTGAAACGATATCCACGGCTTATGGGGTATGATCCTAATGATATTTTGTTATCCAATATCAATACTTTGTTGGATAATGGAGTTGCTGAATGTCATATTGTTTCAACGCTTAGTTCGCTGCCTTCCACTTTTGTTAGAAGTCCAAATAAGTTTAAGGATATGGTGGAAGAAGTAAAGGATATGGGGTTTACTCCTTCTAAGCCAGTGTTTATAATAGCACTCTATGCAATGAGTTCGATGAGTAAACCGACATGGAAGAGGAAGATTGAATTTTTCAAGAAGCTTGGTTGGTCCGAGGAGGAGTTTTTCGATGCTTTTCGTAGGTATCCCACTTTCGTGAGGGTGTCTGAGGATAAATTCATGGTGACAATGGATTTCCTTGTTAACAAAATGGGTTTTTCGTCTAGTGTTTTTGCAAAACGTCCCCGAGTGCTGATGATGAGCATGGAGAAAAAGATTGTCCCGAGAGGTCTGTTTGCTCTCGACTTGTTGTCCAAAGGTGTTATCAAGCATATTAACTTGCAGGCGTTGTTGGAGAGTTCGGAACATGTGTTCATTGAGAACTTTGTCAACCGTCATAAAGAGGAAGCATCTCAGTTGTTAAAGCTATATCATGAAAAGTTAGAGCTTTCGAAAAACTGGAGAATAGATGGTTACAAGCTGCAGCATTTATAGGATATTGACATTAAAAGGTTCTAATCGTCCTCTTGTTCCTCTAAGTAAGTTGGATTCATTTAAGCTAAAATTTGCTTGACATTTTGGTTAAGAATGTTGTTAATACAATGTTTTAGCTTTTTTTCTCTCATCTTTTTCTGCCATTAGAAAAGGTTGAAGTTGACTCATTGCTATAATAATTTGATGTGCTATTATGTATGATCTTTGCTAGGAGTGTATTTAGGGTTCGCTGAGCTAATATTAGCTATGTAAAGACAGGTTTCTGAAACCAAAATTCCATTAATTTCTGTCATTTGAAACCGTAAAGAATTCTTTACTTTGCTGCTAATGTTTATGTAGCCAATCTAATGAGCTCAAACATTATGTTTGTTGCAGCTTTACAAATTGAAGATGATTGGAACATTTGTATCATCAAACTCGATTGCACAATCGATATTGAATTCATGGCTCTTCTTTAGGAACATGACAGTCTCTAGGATCGTGTTTGATATCATAAGTTCTGGACATTGAATCATTCTACTGCTCGATTGTGTCAAACAGCACTTAGAGAATGTATGATGACAACTGGTCCTAAAGCCACTAAATCCTAGGAGAAGGCGCAACCGCTTGCCTCGCTCCTGGATCGTTCTTGCTTATTTGTGGCAGATATTTATACCCTTGACCTTCTCACAACGGGTTAGATCACCCCAAAGGTCCCGATAACATCACCAAAATAAGAGATAATGCATAAGGCGATTGCCAACACAACTAGTAGCACTACTGATGTTCATTAGAGCTACACCCCTCAATGGAACCATGGTGAGAGGTTGCCTAACCTTCTACACCGGTAAAACAGCAAAATACTGGCATTTGCAGCCCATCTTGTTGAGGTAAAAACCCAATGTAGCATTAATATTGGCCTCTCAAAGCTCCATTACCTTCGGCATAACCATCTCTTCATCAGACCAACCCCATTTCTTAAAAACACTGAATCTTCTTTCCCATTTTAGTTTACCTTTTATTGATATAATGATAGGAACATCATCGAATGTACTTTCAATGGATCAACACCCATTTTCTTTACTTCCGATTCTTTTGGAGTCGGTCCTGCGCTTGTTCTTGATCCGATCTTTTTTGAAACGGAAAAAGATTGGATCCTCGGCATTCTTCCCTTTTAACGATTATGGTGCGACAATGGAAATGCTTGATTTATTATGATATACGAATATATACTCTGAATTACTTTTTCCACCATGGGAACTCACCCAACCCCAAAGCTAGGGGTTAGCAGAGGCTTTGCTCTATGTTTAAAGGTTTAATTACATTTTTAGTCCATATTATTAAATGGGAAATTTTCATTTTTGGTCCCTCTTAAAAATTAATTCTTTCATTTAAACTCTGCGCTCACCGAGTTTGAGTTTTGAACTTTATAATGATAAAAAAAGAGTTTGAAAAAGTAGAAAATGCATCATAATCTGACAGCTCTGGTGATATTTGCAACCATTAAATCATAGTGTAAACTGAAAATGACATTGATACTTCCTTGCTGATAGATGATAAGTAGCAGAAACTTTAAAAATAACTCAAAACAGTGAATATCCGAAGTCGATTACATCACTAAAAGTAGGCATTGAACTGGTTTCTGGGATCATCATGTTGTAGTTGCTGGGAATACCGTCATTGTTGTTAAAAAAACCTCCCATGCATGCATCTTCAACCATCAATGGGGAAGTGTTGTTGGTTATAGCCAAGAGTTCATTAGAGTCGATCCCCCATGATGGTTGCTGCTGCTGCATGTCACCACCACTCCAAAGAAAACCTTGAGTTAGTTCGTCATAACCCTGAGCATAGGTATCGGAAAACGATTGGTTTGCGATCGGGTTATGGTTCATGGAAGTGTTGCAGATGTTTGAAACGTGTGAAGAACAAGAACCGGTTGGTGTCGAAGGTGGTTTCAAGCAGTTATCAGGGACAATGCAAGACAAGTAACCGGAGTTGCTACTTTGATCAGTTAAAAATAAACTATTTTCATCAACCGAGCCATCGGCACCATTGTTATTAGGTTGCACAGTGGGTTGAAATTGATACGAAGTTGGTAAAAAGGCACCTTGAAGCAAATCAGCTGCAGTGTTGTAGTTGTTGGAGTATACGAAGTTTGTTCTTGCTTGTGTTCCTTTCATGGAAAGTGCAGCTCTATCATAAGCAAGTGCTGCTTCTTGAGCCGTATCGAACGTGCCCAGCCAATGCCTTTCTTTCGTCGTTGGATCACGGATTTCAGCTGCATATCGACCCCACGGCCGACGCCTGACGCCAAGAAACCGCCCTGGGTCAGCTTGCTTCCTTCGGCCTCGCCTTTCACCAGGTTGAGATGGGGCAGTGTTCCTTTGAAGCAAAGCGAAACCAGCTTGGGTTTCAATAGCTTCATAAGTTTTTGATGAGGACATCTCCATGAAACTAGTAATGGATCCTGGTTTCTTTATATATATATATATATATATGGCACAGCTGAGAATGTGGAGATAGGAGAAGAAGGGATAGATTGTGTGTTTTGACGGAAGTGGTGAATTCAAAGTGCAAAGGGAAGTCTTTTAAAGAGACCAACTGCTTGCTGTTGTCACCTTTTTGTACCTTCTTTCAGATTTTTATATGTACTTTTCTTTTAGGCTTGTTAGAAAACATTCTTTCATCCAATCTTAGTTCGATCGATAATTTTTAAAATTTATGAATTTGAATATATTTTAATATAATTATTTTTAATTTAAAAAATATAAATAATTTAAGAAAAGGTTTTCACCCTTTAATTGTCTTAAGTCTCTCAAATTTATCAATCAATTTTTAGGGATAATTTCACTGGTAAAAAAAAGATTATTCATTTTAGAGATTCTGAATTCGAGCAGCTATGTCTGCAAGAAGTGTGCGCGTTGTCAATAATTTAAGATAACTATGAATAAATGTTATCTTATAATAACCTAAACTGTTAAAGAAAGAATGCATACACATGGGGTTAATTATCAGCCAATACCCTATACTCTTCGAATTCTTGAAGGTTAGTCCCTTTATTTGATTTATTAGTTTTTGTTTAAACTAAATAAGAAGTCCGGCTAAATTTATAGGATTAAAAATAGAGGGACTATTTGACGAAGTGGCAAATTTATTGTTTGTTGGCATCTTAGATTAGGGTTCGAGTCTTGTGTCATTCATCCCCTCCTCCAAATTTGTAATTAAAAAAAATAGAGGGATTAAATTTCAAAAGTTCGAAGAGTATAAGTGACATAGGCATAATTAGACCCATATGCATATATTTTTCAATGTATGTTAATTTTTGTATTTAATACAAAATTAGTACTTTAAATAGAAAATTAATTAAATTTAAAACCCCCTTGGAATTTTGTGAACAAAATTCAAAGGTCAAATTTTGTCATTAGTCCATGTACCATGTATAAGTTATAGATTTAGTCTATATATTTTAATTTAATCAATTTTAGTTCCTAAACATTTTGAATGTTGAAATTTCAGTCATGACCCAAAAAAAACAAGGACATTATGACTAGGTTATAAGGACTTAAAATAATTAAATTGGAGTAGAAATCAAATCTACAACATACGCATAATATGAGGATTGATTGTAGAATTATATCATTGAAGAAAAGACAAATAAAGATGGCCTCGAGAAATATCGGGAAACTTTTCAATCTTGTCTTTGTTCTTTCTACAAAAGCGAGAAAAATTAGGGTTTAGTCAAAAGGGTAATCAAATTAGGGCTTTAAAGAACAAATTATAAAAAGCAAAGGTTTTATCATATCCCCTTTAATTTCAATTAAACTTGGGTTTCACATACGTTGGGAAGGGGGGGAGAGTAGTCATAATCAAATGGATCAACCCTAAACTTGATTGAATAATGGATCAAATAATATGTTTTAAGTTACAAGTATAAGAGATCGTTATTCTCTTTAGAGGACCCAAATTTAAATAGATGTCTATGCAGGTCGCGTGTGCTTTGTCAATAGACTAAAAATATGAACATATATTATCTTATAACAATCTCATACTATTCAAAAAGATTTGAATAAATTAACAAATAAACATGAGATCAAAATATTTAATTATGAAATAAATGATGATCGGTTTAAATAGGGATGAACCGATAGAGTGTTGAAGGAAGCAATTGTACTATTTGAAATGTAAATTCTCATAGTATTTTATTTTTGTTCTATATAGAGGATTTTTTTTTCGCACCCTCTAAAATTTTAATATAACCTCGTAAAAGTCCGTACCCTCTATTATTTAGATATATTCTTTGAATTTAAACCTATTTAAGCATGTTCAATGTTAGATTTAAGAGCTTGAGAGATTAGAAACATTACATAAAAATATTCAAACATTTTCTAAAAATGAAAAGGATCATAATATTTAGTGAAATATATTCAAGTTTGTGAGGTTGGTCCAAGGAAAACATCTTCTTTTCCTCATATTCTGGTTAGACCAAGAAAAAGAAATGTTTGGTTTCCATGGAAATGCCACATGCAAAACAAGACATTGGAAAAGCATTGTCTTTTTTTTTTTTTTTAATAAATGAAGTCCTTTTAGCCTGGCTTTGCATGAAAGTTCACTCATGGAAGTTACCATTTGAAGAGAAGGGAAAAGCTTGGTCAAGCCTCTTTTCTGAAAAGATGTGAGTCCAGTTAGACTATATATATGGAGAAGTGTAATGATTTGACACTGACTAAATTGATTTAATAAAATAAAATAAAATATAATTTTATATAATTAACCAGGACAAAATTTTAATGATCAGAAGAGCAATAAATAAATATATTTCAATAAATTTAATTTTTAAATTTTATGATGATATATATGATCTAGTTAGCTGACTATGCATATAATTATATCTTGTTAATTGGTTAAATATCAATATGAAATTTTCAGGATAAAATTTGTACTCAACCCTATGTAAATATATATTTTTTGTTTATATTAAGTAAAATAATGAAGAAATATGAAGTGAATCTTATTATAATTATCTTTAAATATATAAATCTTTATAATATTTGATTTAAATTAATCAATTAATAAATAAAATATTAATAATTAATAAAATAAAATAAAAAATTATGCACATTCTAAAAAAACCCATCAATTTTTTATTATTATTTCTCTAGTACTAAAGGTAACCCGAATTTAGGGGAAAAGATGATTGTCTTTCATAGAACTTTGGACTTTGACTTAAAAATTGAAAATTAATTTAATTTAATTTTTATCGTGAAATATTTCCATTTTTGCTGTGATTTTATTTTACTTTTAATACCTTTTTGGTTTAGTTTAGTTTTGGCTCCCTCTTAATTAGTCAATCAGTCAACACACACTCGCGGCCTTCCACAGAACTAATCAATTTGCTTTTATTATTTTAGTCCCTAAACAAATATAAGAACTTCATCTTGTCCCCCACCTAATTAGGTTACAAAAGAGGTGCATTGGATTAATTAAGTTGAGTTTAATTTTAGAATTGAGATAAAATAAGACATAGTTAGCCACATAAATGCAATTTATAGAAAAAGTATTTGAGGTTTTTTATTAAAAAAATTATATATGTTAATTATATATGATCTAATAGATTAAGACGTTAGTCCTTTAAATAATATCTTAGATTCAAATTTAAGTATTATAAATAAGGGTAAAGTACACAAATGATCCTCCAACAATAGGAAATTGCTTTATTGAATCCCTCGACTATTAAAAGCTACAAAATTATCCCCTGACTATAGGGAATTCCTTTGTTGAGATACTCGACTATTAAAAGTTACAAAATAGTCACCCGGCTATTCATTATGTTCCAATTTTGTCATTTTTCGTTAAAAAATTAACGGTCATCTGGACTGAAAGTTAACATGTTGATTAAGATATGATAGTCGTTTGAGATTATGAGATCATATTTTTTTTCATGTCTGAGTAAATAGGTTAACCTTCAGCTCAGACTGTCGTTATTTTTTTTAACGGAAAAGGACGAGTTTGGAACATAATAAATAATCGGGTGACCATTTTGTAGCTTTTAATAGTTAAGGGACTCAACAAAGCAACTTCCTATAGTTGGAGGACTATTTTGTAACTTTTAATAGTCGAGAGACTCAACAAAGTAATATCCTATAGTCGGTGACTATTTATGTATTTTTCCCTATAAATAAAATAAATTGGATTCAGAATGTCGTTCTTGAAGACACCAAATTTTATCCTTTAACATTATATAATATATTTACATTATAATTTATATATATATATATATATATATATATATATTTTACATATGGTGCATACATATTTACACACAAATCTGTTACATTTGCAGGCCTGCTACACGAGGCCCAACTGTACACAACCCAAACGTAGGAGTCCAAACGTGTGGGGTTTTCAGAAACCCTAAACATATGCTCTCAAACCCTAGCCTCGTCAGCGCCGCTTCAGCTACCTTTTCACGCGGCCAACACCGAGTTTCACGGCAAGACTCCCATCACCGCACGTCTCGCCTTCAACGACCGGGACTCTCGGCCACGCAAAGAAATAAACAACAACAACATCAGTGTTTTACTTTAATTTAAACTCTAAAATAGCCATTGTTTTGGGCTATAAATATTATGTAAAGCACACAAGTTTAGGGGGAGAGATTACTGCGAATACACACAGAAAGTCACCATAGCAAGCACAAAGAAAGTCAGAACACTTGTACAACATTTCGAAACAAGAAATAAAAGCGAGGTATATTAGTTGTTTACCTTTTGGTTCGCTTGATCCTTTGCACGTCAAATTTATCGTCCATCGTGTTGTTTTAAAAAAAAAAAAAATCTTTTGGCCGATGAAAAGGTGTTTTCGTTCGAGATCGTTTGTATAGATCTACGAAAACCCGAGGCCTATTTCAAAAAAAAGGTTTGAGATTTGAGTCAAAGGAGAGAAAGGCTTTCAGAAAAACCAATTTTTTATGGGTTTGCCGCCGATGATCGGTGGCCGGCGCCGACCAACGGCGGCCGGCGAGGCGGCGTGTGGCCATGTCTGGGATTTTACGGCGGCGTGTTCTTCATTTCTGAAGAACACGCATGAACAGATGAAGGAAACGAGAGAAAGAGAGGAGAGCTCTCGGGCGAGGAAGGGAGAAATGAAGATAAAAAAAAGGTTTTTGGGCTTTATACATAGCCCGTGCGGTGACCCGCGCGTCAACCCGACCCGGGGAAGGATCCGCGTGTTTTGTTAAAAGGGGTAAACTTCATTTTGGCTCCCTCTGTTTTGAAAAACATTCAATTTGGTCCCCAAACCGGTTGGGTAAACTTCATTTTGGCTCCCTCTGTTTTAAAAAACGTTTAATTTGGTCCCCAAATCGGTTTAATTCCCTTGGTTATATTCTGATTCTGCCATCTAACTTTATTTTGTTTCATTTACCCCTTTATACTCATATATTTTATTATATCTCGTATTTACTCTTTTATACATAGATATTTGGATTTTTATT